CACATGTGGCCTAAGCACTCTCAACCACGACAAGCCTTTGAATCTCTTCAGCAGTGCATTCGCAAGGGAGAAGGGGTTGGAGAACCACGACGCCCTGAGGCAAGTGAAAGCGAGGCCTGAGCACCGTGCCAGACCAGCCCTGGTCAAAGCCTCATCCAACTGCCGCTTCTTTTCACATGAAGAAGCCGGATCAACTCCTTGATATCAAGTTCACGAAGCTCCTTGCGCCCCATGTGCCCAGAAAACCCACGCCAGCCCAACGATTCGAAAATGCGAACTCTTGAGGCCAAATCTCTTTCCAAACGCCGCTTCATGGCCCAGCCGAAACAATGCCTTTCCGTATCCCACTGGCTGCACCTCCCTGAGGCTCGCGCTGGTCTTCTGCGGCTCGAGAGGGCCTTTGCCTTGGCCTCAGCTTGTATCAGGTCCGGGAAAAGGAAACGGGCAAGCTGTGCTGGGCCCCCGTTTGATCACGTGGAAAATAGGTGACAAACCCAAAGACTTGTTCCCCTTTCGTGTGACTAGGGCAACCTAGCACCACGGTCTCAACAACTACACGAGTAATTCTGCATGTGACCGTAACCAACCCGCTACGTTTCGCAGCGAACGGTCTCTGATTGGCCGCAATCGGTTGGACCCTCAATTGGAAGTGCACCCAAGTGGCTTTACTGCAGTGGCCAAGCAAATCCTCGCTGCACAGGTATTGATGAGGCCCTTGGCCGCCAATCAGGCTTGTGCCAAATGTGCAAAATTCAATATCCAATTTCGACGGCCGTGAGTCGCACATCAGAAACTCGTATCAGTTCTCCAAGGGGTGTCTGCCCTCTTGAATCCTTTCCACAGCCAAAAAGAAAGTTGCCTAAAACTATCCTCTTGGCTGGCGCGCTATTTCTATAAGTACCACACGCTTGTAAAAGCTCCCATCAAATCTGGGCTGCAACCCTTGAGGCCTGCGCTAGCTGCCTTGCCTCGACCCTCTTGAACGCCTGGGAGAGAGAGAGACAAAAATGGCCTGCGCTTTGGGGGACCCTGGTGTCATTCTATGCCACCTTCAAAGAGGTTCCCCCAAAGCGGGCCTGGATCTTGTCGGTCGCCGGCCCCAAACGGGCGGAACTCAAAAAACCACTGAGCTAAGCTTATGCACTGTGATTCCTGCATGTTTCCTTTTGGGTACCTGCCACTCCCTTTCAAACAGTGGATGATGCATCTTGCCCAACTCTCACCTATCCTTGGCCAAATTATGTACTACTGGCTTCGCGAAGGCTTGCGCACCCACCTCATAAATTTATGGCTTCGTGGAGTTCGTCTAACCAGTTGATGTTCATGGCCAATAATTATCACCCGATTCAATTACGTCCCGTGCTGCAGCGGCCCATTGGCCCTCGCCCCAAAGAGCTGACTTTGGCGGTACTATTGGAGACAAGGGGTGGGAAGTCTTCAGCACCAACAAGTCAACTCACAGATCCTCTCCAAAGCCGCTGCAACGAAGGATCTTGAGAACGCCCCCGGCCCTGCTGCAGCTCAGCGCCAAACTGCCCCAAATGCGGGACTCCAACTGCGAGACGCCTCGGTCGGAAAAGCGAAAACAAAAAATGAAAAGGATGGCAAGACATACTAAATCTCTGGCAAAGCAAATGCAAGGCAAAATCCCGCGCTGAGTACACACACACACACACAGCCCCAAAAAACATGAGAATGCCAGACCTCAATGCCGTTGATGTGACAGGGGCGGTTTTGATGCGGCGCTGGCAAGTGCTCTGTCCAGAGGGCAACTGCGCCCCACACCGACCTTCCTCGGAGCTCCGAGCTGCAGCCCGCAAACCAAATCCAAGGCCCCCTGCTGATTGCGTTCGCAAGCCCGGAGCCTTTCTTGCCTGGGGCCCGGTTCAGTCTCACCTACTGGGACTCCTGCACAAGGTGCTGAGAAGTGGCAGAAATAGGGGTGGGAGACCTGCGGTTCGATTTAACTAACAAAAAGGGCACGCAGTACCAGGTCTTGGCATCACAGTAAGGGCCCCACCGGCCGCCTGAGCTCGAGCTAGTTCTTGCTCGCGGGCAAGATCCGTAACCCCTGACAGCTGGCAGGGCGTTTTGGAAGAGCAAGCAAATCAAATTGATGCGCGTGGTTATTTCTGACATCCCATTTGAAAGGCGCAGCACCGAAATTTAGAAAATACCCTTGCCGTCCACTCTCTGGTCACTCCTCTCTGCTTTGGACTCTTCGCTGCATAGCACTCGAGCTCGTTGGAACACATACCCTTTCCACTCAGGGCCCGGCTGATTGTCTGACGACTTCTGGGGTCTTGTTCCCGAGCAGCAGCTGCAGTACCAAGGCACAAACGTGGCTCTCAAAAACCGTGCTGGCCCGCCCAAATGGTCGTTGACTTGACAACTGGGTTTCTTGATGAAACAAACAAACAAACCGGGAATGAAGCATCCGTGGCCCGTTCGTGATCCTACCTTCCATTGCATGTGTTGTTTTGCCTCCAGCTGTCGGCTTGCTGTGATTGGTACAGACCCCACTTCGACATGGCCAATTCTGCCAAGTGGTGCCGAAAATGCGGTTGCCTTCAGCTCGGGCTGTGTCAGAAAAGCAGTTCTCTCAGCAAAAAAAGACCTACGGGCCAGTCTGCTTAGAAACAGCACAAGCTTGGGCCGCCCACCTAAGACACAGATCTCAACACTGCCTTTTCAAACTCCAATGCATGTTGCCAGCAGTCGCTGAAAACAATCCCTGGAAGGCCTGGCAAGACATGGAATTCCGTCCAAGGTAAAGCTTCTTGCAACACCAGCTGCTGACGTCCCAGTTTTGCATGAGGACTATACCAGTCATTTAGATACTGTTGATGGACCGTACTGCACCAATTGACTCCAGGAGTTCGTCCCACAACCAAGCCAAGCCTTACCTTGTGATTGGGCTGGAGCATGCTGAAGCAAATCCCGCGCCCATGAGTGCGGGCACCTGCCTTTGGCACGGGCGATCTCTTGCTCACGAGTAGCACCTCATCAAGTCATTCCACTCTCGAATGGCATGACATGAGCACACGTGCGAACAAGAAAAAACAATCCACTCTGTGAGAGCGGGTTCCAATGTTCCATGGCTAAACTCCGTTTGTGGGGATGGCCAGGTGCCTGCCCCGCAGAATCACTGCAGTGTCCAAAGTCCTGCAAAAAAGCGCTAAAAGCTGCATAACCGACCTCATCAACTTCAAGTGCCCAAATATCTGTACCACGGCATAGTTAAATGATCACACGCCTTGCTCCACTTCGAGATGGGCGCAAAACAGCTGCGGCCGTACAAGGCGAGTCGCCTCGCACAGCACGCGTCAGGGTCTGGGCGCCCGGCTGGGCACCGGGCGAGCAAAGTCTTGCTCGCGCAAAGGGACTCAAGCGCGGGGCAAGCCACGGAGAGACCCGTTCATGTGGCTGAAACCGTAGCTGGAACCGTCCATCGAACTTTGGATTCACGATTAAGCATTGATCGGCGGTACCATCCACCTACCACTTGGGAAAAGGTGCCAGATTACAACCCAACGCCACCCGCTGCCACGCGCAATCAGCTACTGTGCAGAAGGCAAGGAGCGTCATTTGCTTGTTTGTAGCTTCATGTGCTGGGGGTAGTCAGATTCTTTCTCCACCAAATGCAAGCATTTGCTTGCGCCGTGTGGTTTTTAGCAACAATCAGTGTGTCACTTGTGCTTCTGCATCGTAGTTTAGATCAATTCTTCGCCGCGCAATGCGAGCTCCGTGCCTCCAGTATACAATGCTTCCATTACCATCAAGGTTCTGCAATATCTATTGATTGGATGGAGCCAACAGAATCTGCTTCAAACCGAAGCAAATACTGTCCAACTAGTAGGGCTGAGGAAACTTCCAAACTGAGTAGCATCAGCACTGAATATGTACATGTGTTTGTAAAGAAAACGATAAAGTTCTACACGCACCTTCTCAGGGGCTAAAGCGCAAACGACATTCCTTTCACTGAGATTCTGCAAGCCAAAAAGCTGAACACATTCCAGTAGGTCATGTCTTCAGAAAGAGGTAACATTAAGCACAGCCTTGACTGTATCCTGCAAAGCCACTCAGGTCTTAAAGGATTCACTAAAGGATGCGTCCTGAAAGTGCGTAGTTACCGTAGGTCCCAAGGAAGACTCTTGTCCGCTGGATACCCAGCTTGAGGCCGCGGCTGGGCCGTGCCAGCTTGCCCGGGACCGCTGCCGAGCCTGGAGGCTTGAGAGATGCCCCCGGGTTGGGCCGAGCCCTTTACACATTGACGCTTCCCTCTGGTGGCACAAAGTCAATGGTCCACCCCACCCTAAAAAGCACCCGTTGAGAATGAAAAAGAAAAAACGGTTCCGTCTATGTTCAACAAAGACCGCCTAGAAGTAGGCCTGTGCCCCAGCTGCTGCTATGCAAGGGATTCTCGCGGCTGGTTTCGACCAGCAAGGACCATCCCCCAACTTTTCGAAACCTCCAAACTTGGAATTCAAAAGTGTCCGCACAATGTTGCTTGCCTCATCAAGGCAAATGCTGGAATGGCCTTTTGAAGCTGTTCATCGGAAGCCGTCCGATATTTGAAAAATTCCGGGGTCGCACGCAGATCAGATGCGGGCTCCCGCCAATTTAGCGTGAAGGTTGTATTGGTGTGAAAAAGGTTGGCTTGACACCTCACTCCCTGTGAGCATGTGGGGGTTGTTCAAAATAAAAGTTCCTGGCAACGGCCCTTTCGCCGGCCTTTCGCGGTCCTTTCGCGGCCCCATGTTTTCCTTTCGCGGTGACAAACCAGTCCTGAACAACTTGTTTCCGAGCCCAAACGAGGGTTCTACCATGTATTCGTTATGTTTCAAGTCCTTTCGCGTTCCTTTCGCCGGCCTTTCGCGATGCAGTGGGTTCCTTTCGCGCTAGACCTTCAGAACCTCCCTTTACTTAATTTTAAGACTGGCAATTTAGAACGACTCCCATGTGAGAAGCCGCTGCGTGGGCACACATGCAAGCACTTTAGGTGTATTCACTGGGTTAGATGGCACCAAAGCTAACATGGAACCTGAAACAAACAAGGGACTCCAGTCTGCCGCACTGGTGGATGATTGCTTGGTAAAGTATTCTTCAAGTCTGGGCCAGCAAGTTCCTATCTCCCATCTTCCCTGCCATCAGAAAAAAAGCTTGTGTGTCAAAGCTAGAGGCCCTGCCCTTTGGGGAGAACTGATTCATTGATTCCATATCGACCCGTTAGACCTGGAGGCTTACAGGGATCAAACCAAGTCATGCCCAAGTCACGCCTTTCATGCTTGCGCAACTGTAATCGCAATTTGGGGAAGTCATGCCCAAGTCATGCCTTTCAGTCTTCCCCGCTTGCAATCACAAGACACCTCTAGCAACAGGTGGTAAGGAAAGTGGCCAAATGTTCCTTGATTTCACTCCACTGGCAATGCAGAAACAGTCGTCAGCAAGACCGTACGAGAAAGAAATAAAAAGGCTTCAACAACGTTCAAGATTGACCATAGAAGTGCGGGGACGGGTTGGGTACCAAATGATGGTATCAACCCTCAAGCCCGTGAGGCAGCGCACTTCCCAGCCGCTTGCCACACGCTTTGACTGGCAATACTTGGCTGGCTGGCTGGCTGGCTGGCTGGCTGGCTGGCTGGCTGGCTGGCTGGCTGGCTGGCTGGCTGGCTGGCTGGCTGGCTGGCTGGCTGGTTCGCTCGCTTCCTGCCTTCCTTCCTTCCTTCCTTCCTTCCTTCCTTCCTTCCTTCCTTCCTTCCTTCCTTCCGTCCTTCCTTCCTTCCTTCCTTCCTTCCTTCCTTCCTTCCTTGCTCTTCCCCCCAAATCGCCTCCCCATCTTCCTCCTTCAATACGCCAAGACGCAAACCCTACCTACTGACCGATCTCCGGGCTTCTGGCCGGGCATGCGGCCTGAGTGGAGCACGCAGCGTGCAGGCTTAGGCACTCACTACCCCCTGCAACTAAGCTCTCAACACTTGCCCCTGCAGAATACTGCTTGGGTTTGCAGTAGGTAAACCACTGACAACGTAAAGAAATTTTGCCACGACTGTACCTACCCTGCACAAACTCACAGACTCACAAATGTGGATTGACAACTCTCGCAAGGTGCCATCGGCGGGCCCAGGCAAGAATCCAGCGACCTCCCCAACCAACCCCGAAACTACCTCAGGATTGGGCTGGATGCGCCGGAGGCACTGGCTTGAGCAGGTTCCTTCGGGAAACTGCCTGAGCTGTCCCAAGCACAGGTCACCAGGGCCCCCGTTGAAGGACGAAGCGCATGACCCCTGCTTGTTGACATGGAATCTGGAGAGTTTGAGTGTGTGTGTGTGTGTGTGTGTGCCATGCTCCTATTTCCAAGGCCTTCTGGAAAGTTGTCTGGCCAGCTGCTCGCGCGAGGCCGGATTCCGCGATTTATCCCTAACAACTCACTATCTGGGCACAAATCAGGGCTCAACCTGAATCACCAATGCGATTCATCTCAACCAGTTCGCTTGGGGTCTACCTCCAGTCACGCACGCTACATGCTTGGTCTATGTGCTGCTGCGCTAAAAGACTCAAGCATACAAGTCCAGTTGAAGTCCCAAGGCTTGTGCCGAAAAGCAGCTCAAAGGGAACCAAAGCTAAAAACCCGCTTCAGGAATTCCTGCGAGGTTTATCTCCCTCCAAGTGGTGATTCCTGTGCTTGGTAGCTCTGACTTGCCAAGCAGTCTACCTCATAATCACGATCTAAAGACTGGCACTGGACACAATGTCCTTCCAAATGGGCACAAGGCTGCATGAGCTCTGACCTCTACCGTATCTATCTCTCACAGACTCACAGACTCACACTGGTTCCGATGCTTCAAATGTGGATTGACAACTCTCGCAAGGTGCCATCGGCGGGCCCAGGCAAGAATCCAGCGACCTCCCCAACCAACCCCGAAACTACCTCAGGATTGGGCTGGATGCGCCGGAGGCACTGGCTCGAGCAGGTTCCTTCGGGAAACTGCCTGAGCTGTCCCAAGCACAGGTCACCAGGGCCCCCGTTGAAGGACGAAGCGCATGACCCCTGCTTGTTGACATGGAATCTGGAGAAGTGGCAGTGCAAGTGTGAGTTTGAGTGTGTGTGTGTGTGTGCCATGCTCCTATTTCCAAGGCCTTCTGGAAAGTTGTCTGGCCAGCTGCTCGCGCGAGGCCGGATTCCGCGATTTATCCCTAACAACTCACTATCTGGGCACAAATCAGGGCTCAACCTGAATCACCAATGCGATTCATCTCAACCAGTTCGCTTGGGGTCTACCTCCAGTCACGCACGCTACATGCTTGGTCTATGTGCTGCTGCGCTAAAAGACTCAAGCATACAAGTCCAGTTGAAGTCCCAAGGCTTGTGCCGAAAAGCAGCTCAAAGGGAACCAAAGCTAAAAACCCGCTTCAGGAATTCCTGCGGGGTTTATCGCCCTCCAAGTGGTGATTCCTGTGCTTGGTAGCTCTGACTTGCCAAGCAGTCTACCTCATAATCACGATCTAAAGGCTGGCACTGGACACAATGTCCTTCCAAATGGGCACAAGGCTGCATGAGCTCTGACCTCTACCGTATCTATCTCTCACAGACTCACAGACTCACACTGGTTCCGATGCTTCAAATGTGGATTGACAACTCTCGCAAGGTGCCATCGGCGGGCCCAGGCAAGAATCCAGCGACCTCCCCAACCAACCCCGAAACTACCTCAGGATTGGGCTGGATGCGCCGGAGGCACTGGCTCGAGCAGGTTCCTTCGGGAAACTGCCTGAGCTGTCCCAAGCACAGGTCACCAGGGCCCCCGTTGAAGGACGAAGCGCATGACCCCTGCTTGTTGACATGGAATCTGGAGAAGTGGCAGTGCAAGTGTGAGTTTGAGTGTGTGTGTGTGTGTGCCATGCTCCTATTTCCAAGGCCTTCTGGAAAGTTGTCTGGCCAGCTGCTCGCGCGAGGCCGGATTCCGCGATTTATCCCTAACAACTCACTATCTGGGCACAAATCAGGGCTCAACCCGAATCACCAATGCGATTCATCTCAACCAGTTCGCTTGGGGTCTACCTCCAGTCACGCACGCTACATGCTTGGTCTATGTGCTGCTGCGCTAACAGACTCAAGCATACAAGTCCAGTTGAAGTCCCAAGGCTTGTCCCGAAAAGCAGCTCAAAGGGTTCCAAGGAAGCTAAAAAACCCGCTTCAGGAATTCCTGCGGGGTTTATCGCCCTCCAAGTGGTGATTCCTGTGCTTGGTAGCTCTGACTTGCCAAGCAGTCTACCTCATAATCACGATCTAAAGGCTGGCACTGGACATCGTCTTTCCAAATGAGCACAAGGCTGCATGAGCTCTGACCTCTACCGTATCTACCTCAAGCAAACCGTCTCACCTTTACAGCATCTAATGTCCACCCCTAAATACATCTAATTGTTTCCGCAAAACCGAAAAATAAACTATCTCTAAATACGTCTAACTGCTTCTCCCCCAACAAAACATCAATGAACAAATCTATGAAAAACTATCACTGCGGCTTGAATGAATTTGCCGAATTCCCTTCAGATAAGCTATGTCTTTCAATCCCTGCAGATCCCCCAAATTCTTGGGTTATCTCCTTCATTAAACTCTTTGTTTAAGATCCTTCAAAATCATCCCTTGCCCCCCCGCTCCCCCCCTCAAGCGCACCAAATAAATACCAGACCCCCAATAAAGCTGAGATGATCCCCACTGACCTCAAAAATGTCTGATCCCTTTACTGAAATTCCCGCTTAACTTTCTTTGAGGGCAGCCAGGGGGGCTCTATTTATTAATCAGAGGTGGACATTATCTCTCACAGACTCACAGACTCACACTGGTTCCGATGCTTCAAATGTGGATTGACAACTCTCGCAAGGTGCCATCGGCGGGCCCAGGCAAGAATCCAGCGACCTCCCCAACCAACCCCGAAACTACCTCAGGATTGGGCTGGATGCGCCGGAGGCACTGGCTCGAGCAGGTTCCTTCGGGAAACTGCCTGAGCTGTCCCAATACGAATTACAAGAAGAAAAAACATGTGGACACGTCGAGCAAAACCTCACCGCCATTCCACATTTAGAGACTTCCTTGCCATGGTGACCCAACCTTTGCCGAGGCGAAGACTCTTGCTAGCTGGTTCAGGAAAGGCGCTGCCTATCAGCAAGGCACGTGCTGGGCTCAACATGAAAACAGCCCTGTGCTCACAAGATCGCCTGATATGCGCGCTTTGCTGAGGAACGGCCTTTGCCAATACAACATTGTCGGCAATAGGTATGGCCATTGTTCAAAGACGATGCCCGGCTGAGAGCAACGAATCGAGCACGAGAGCCATGGCCTCCACCCGCCAGCTTGTCAATCATTCGCCGAAGCGCGCGCTGGCCTGGCCCAAATCAATCTGATATGAGAACTTGGCTGCCTGGCATAGACACTACCCGGTCACTACCCCCTTTCCAAATATCAGATTTGGGGGATTCCCAGTTCCAGGAACGTGTTCAATCCAGGGCTACGTTAGCAGCGGCCAGCAACCCCCCCCCATCCACACTGCAACTCAAGCATGGATCAAAGAGGGCCGGAAGAAAAGCTTCGCCAATGGACGTTCGGCTTCTCCAAAAACCCTCCCTTGATGCTTGGCGCCTGTTTCAAGCGGCCCCAGCCTTCCGGCGGCATCTCCCTAATCAGAGTCTCCAGCTCCTCATGACCTGTCGAGGAAAACTGCTCTTGGGAGCGAAACATCTCGACTTCCAGACTAGTGGATGGCTCCAGATTGATGGCGAAACGAGCTCACCCAAGAGCCTGCATTTGCGTCCATATATCCAGTTTGTAAAATCTAGGGGCCTTGAATGTCTGGGCCGGATCGATCGGAAGGCTTCCAAGAAATGGAATAGAACAAGGGACAGGCACCACCTCCAGAGCACAGCAATGTTTTCAAGCCTGCCATTCTGAAAAACCAGTTGCGCCTCTTGCCAAATTCAATCACATGCTTCCTGCCTTGAATCCTCTCTTTGGAATCCTCTGAGTCGCGGTTGGTGTTTCGATAGCCAACATCGAGGAGCACATCGTCTGGATCTGGGAGCGGGCAATGTGAGCGCTAGTTCTCCTGCTGAACCACCCGAATCACATTCAATTGGGGCGTCTTCTGAAACGAGCGCCTGACGCCCGAACCAATTCACTTGAGGCTTGCCAAAAATGCAAAGCACATGACCCTTTTCGGGCAACAAATGCAGCCGAAACTGCTTGAGTCCAAACTGGGACATTCCTTCATCGATGGCTTGATGCGCATCCCTATGACTTCCAAAATGAAAGGACACTGACCGGACTTTGCAGACGGCTGACTCTGGGCGCCCTGCGGAAGTTCGGCAAAACCAGCCGCCCATCCTCGCCTAACGAAAAGGAATGTCGGCCCTGTTCTGCAAGACATCAAGTTCATGGAATTGATGGTGGGCAGGGTCGCCAAGTATCAAGAGGACATGTCTTGCCCAAAACTCACAGCAAAAATATCTCTCCGCGTGGAGATCCGCCCCAACAAACGCTTAGTACTCAGGGAGGGAACCCACTGAGAAGACATGGATCCCCAAAGATTGTGAGAAAATGCGAGCAACATCCTGCGATCTGCAATTCACTCCAGGCTCCTTGGCGTCCACCTGGCTCTCATTCCCAGAGAGCCTTTTGCGAGAGGGAAAGTCTCCCTTCAAGACCCCTCATGCTTGCTGCCTACAGCCCTGCTATCGAATGGCTGAGCTTGGGGACATCCCTGAAAAAATCAATTCCAAAATTGTTCTCAAACACCGGATCAGAATCAATCATACAGGTCACAGCGGAATTCCCTTCCTGATTAAGTCCTGAGGGGGCTCCCTCAAAATACGACGCACCCAACTTTCCAGGCAGCCGGGCGCACTGCCGACACGAAGAACAGACACCGGGAACTACCTAACAAGGTCGCAAAGAGACCAGCGGGTTGCGAAAAAGATGATCCCGCGAGCAGAGTACTGTAGGGTGCTGAGGAGACAGAACAGCAGAGAAATGTAGGAAACAAAGATATGCATGAAGAAAGAGGCGTGAAGATAAACGCATGTCAATCACAGTGGCACATGTGAGTGTGTACATATATATATATATATATGTTAACGGTTTATACAGGGGTATATATGTATATATGTAATATATATATATATGCATGGTTTTGCCAAATCTCCTTTCGTGCGACATTGATTATTTTAGTGCAGTTCTAGTCTGAGCAGATTGTGCCTGGCCTGGACCTTGATCCAAGTACATGATTGTATTATATGCATTGGACGTTTGATCATGCTGCTTACCATGCAAGCGAAGACGTGTGCTAGCTACACCTAGCTTGTGTGAGTGTGAACTTGCTCCTGAAACAGACTGAACTGACCCGGGTGGCAGGTCTGACTACCCTGCAATGTAAACAAAGCTGGGCAGCCTTCAAGGAAAGAACTTCTAAGCACAAGAACTTGCTCTTCAATCGCATCTTCGGTAGACGCCAAACACTTGAAGGCCCCCTCCAAACCCAACAAACAACAGCTCGGATGCCCACCATCAGCACCACCACAACCATTCCCAGCTTTCGGGCAGAGAGCTGCCATTCCTTTCGGGCTCCCCGGCTGGCAGAGTCGCTGGATGCCTCGGCTGCAAACTTGTTGCGGAGATGTCATGGAAACATTGCTGGTACAGTTTGCAGCCTGAACCGGTGGAAAGAAATGATAGAGCAGATTCGTTCATATCAAAAGCAGTGCAAATTCTGAGAGCAATACTCTCCTGTATGCGACGTATTCGTGGATGAATCGTATATAGGGTTTAACCAGTCTGTTTCACAAATATTGAAGCGTCTTGTGAAAGGAAGGACCACACACTCATCGCTTGAATGGAGCGAGTTTTGCGGGGGTGGACTCGGAACATACTTGGCATTTGTTGGGGGGAAGGGGGACCATTGGCCCGTCTGGACAAAGGCGATTAGGAATTCAAAAGCTCAGTACAAAAAAACTGCCCGGAATCAAACGTGCCTGATCAGCCTGCAGGATGAGGTGCCCTGTTTGTCGGTACACAAAAGACAAATGAAGGAGCCAAAGCTTTTTTGGACGCCTCCGTGGAAAGTATGTGCAACAGAACTCTGCACAACAGCATTCTGCCGAAATGTCGTGTCACCCTCCCCGTCTCTGCTTAGGAGTTCGGCCCCCAATGGGGGCTCCAGCGAATATCCTTGGCAGGACGTGTGCTGCAAGGGTCCGACGTCAACGCCAAGCGGCGGAAAGCCCCCCTGTCTCGTCGTTCTCCCCCTCCTGAGCCCTTTGCTCAGGCCTTGGCATCCAAAAGAGTTGCTGGTAATAATCAAAACCTGGCATGGAACTGGCGGGAAGTGTGCCCCACTGACATTCACTTACCCCAGAATGTTGACCGAACCGGACCGCAAGTGCAAATCCGGAAAAGTGTTTCCTCAACCAACGGGCCTGTGCTGCGCCCACTGTGCCCAAGCTGATTTAGTCAACATCAACACGTCAAAAAAAAAAAAAACGTTTTCCCCACCTCATAATTCGATGAAGCCAGTTGTCTGCATATGACGAATTGTGTGCTGCCATCCTGTTGCCTTTGGTAAACAAGCACCAAATCCACGAGAAGTGGGCCGCACAGCCGAAACCCGACATCCCCCCAATCCTCAAGTGGTTCGGTCCTTCACATGTTGCTGTCTTGCTTAGCAAAGCTGGCAGCGGCTGGGCCACCCGGCTGGCTGTGCCACTTTGGGCCGCCACTTTCCTGGCGGACAAACTTGCAGACGAGCTGATCTGGCAAACTGGTCCCAAATCGCAGCCATGGCAACGTTCAACGCCCATGGTCTCCTGCCAAAGCCAACCTTCTCTCAAAGACTGGCCGGTTTCGTGAACAAAATGGCCCATCTCCGAATGCGTCCCGTCCTCCGATGCCATTTCCAGGCGGTTCCGCATTAACCTGGGCAAAGGAATTCCGGACCACCTGAAAGGCAGGCAATCAATGACCAAATCGCCGAACTGGCAATCTCAATCATAGAATAGGTTGCCATTGTAGTTGGAAGGCGCCGTGCGCTGACAAATCTTAGGAGTGGAGTTCAAGGCTTGGGGTGCCTTCTGAAGCCAAATTCCCGTGCCCTCCCTTCACGTCAACACGCTGAGGTTCATCCCAGTCATCCAGCTGTAGCTAAGCTAAGAAACAACTCTGACTAGGCCTCAAGGGGAAGAACCATGTTTAGCTGGGGGGACGCCACGAGTCCTGGAGGTTTCCGGTCCCAGAAACATCGTGGGTTCTTCCCCTTGACGGAGGCGGGCATTGAGCCGAAAGCCCTGGGATGAACCTCCAGTCCCAGGCACCGTGACTTGCAAGCGTGCAGGTCGTCATAACACTTGAGCTGCTGCATCCAAAACCTGCCGCTGCCGGTGGCGGGCGGCGGGGCGGGGCCAAAGTCACCTGTCAGAAGACTGCATGCCTGACGAACATGAGAATTGGTAAGCAATCCCTATGTCCCAATGGTAATTTGGTGAGTGCACCCAACATCGCCCCATTTACGGCAGATTCGGTGAATCTCCACCAAGACTCAAATTCAATGTTTTCCAAAGGATTGCATGAGAAAGATTTGGACATGGCCATCTCCAGCAAGCTGCTACCTTAATGTCAATGATCTAAGCGCAAAAGAGCTAGACTGTCCACTTAAACTTTCACCTCTTTACCCAGCACCAGGTAGAAGTTCACACAAATTCCACATGCGCAATCTTGCAGCAGCCGGGGACTCAGAGGGACCTACAGCAAAAACACCGCCCTCTGAAAGGATCGATCTGACGCCAAATTCGAGTCCAGGCGCTTGCTCTCTGCATTCTGTAGAGTTTCAGCGTCGCGATGCCCAAGGAAGCCAGTCCTGGCTGCGCAGAAACATGCGCACGAAGAGGGCATGCCTCTCCCCGTGCTTGGAACTTGGAAAAGAGCGGATGTGCAAGTACTTGGTCCATGAAGAAAACCAAAAGCCGCTTGCAGGATATCATGATGCATTGGGGCCCCTATAGGCGCCAAGCAGGGGGTTGCGGGGTGGGGGTAGGGGCTTATGAGTAAGGAAGAAAGTAATGATTACATTAAAGCAAGACTGGCCTGTTCTGTCAAAGGCCGTGGTGACATGGCCCTTCTCCCATTTTTCTTCAAAAGGGTAAAGGTCAGACCCATGAGCCAAGAAACAAAACTTCTGTTGCGTGGCATGCACCAACCAAAGAGCCAATAGCTCAGGCAGGATGTTTGACATGACTTTCTCATCACACTTGGCCATGACAAATGCCGCACTCATCTTTGATGTGCCAGAATCGGGGCATGGCTTTCAAAGGCAACCCACATGAAGATGAGCATTTTGGATGGGGTACTTTTTTTGATACCAGCCCACGCGTAAATCTGACGAGAGTCTTCCGTCTTTGGGGCACCGCATCGTCTGACCTGGGCGCAAGCAGCAAAACAGCACATTGCATTGGCTGCACAAGTCCCTCGCACGTGGGTAGGTACTCAGCTGCGCCCTCTATAGGTAACTCATGCGCGCCCTTCATGTCAACAGTGGCGCAAACTCACCTGCGCCCCTGCAAAACTCAACCGCGCCCCTATCACTCAAAGTGCTGCGCCTGCCACAGAATCCAGCTCTAGAAGCAAGCTCTTGCTCGCTGGGAGGTGGGTGGGGTGGGGAGTGGTAAGCACACCCGCTCAGGTGTACCCGCTGGCAGGGGGATGGTAAGCACACCCACTCAGCGCTGGGGGGGGTGGGGGGGGGAATGGCAAGCACACCCGCTCAAGCGCCCGCTGGGGAATGGTAAGCACACCCGCAGGGGCTGGGGGAGGGTGGGGGGGGGGGGGGAATGGTAAGCACACCTGTTTCTGCATGCGACATAGTAGCCCGCCCGCTCAAGTGCACCCGCTCAGCACTGCATCCATGCGAAATGGTAAGTGGTGGGGGGGGGCGAATGGTAAGCACACTGCTGGGGGCGGGT